AAATATTGATGTCAACCACGAATACCGTTTGAAGTAATAAAACTGCGTTGGATTAAAAATAAAATAAAATCCATTAATATTTTACAAGCATACAAAATAGCTTTTTTTAAAGCAACATATAATTTTGACCCATTTGAATACGTTTTTACAGTTAGAAAATAGGTTCAAAATATACAATGACAAAACGTGCATTATGTTCTGAACAAACTAATCCATACATATATTTAGCTGACGAAGGAGCACTTGGACGTGGTGTAGGAGTTTGCAAGCTTGTCTCGTCAGATCAATTACGACTGAGTGGTGATTTCGATCATCATTGGGGGCCCCAAACTCTCGACTTTGGGCCACAACTAAGCTATGCTTAGTAAATTATTATATTTTGCAGGGGATGTAATTAAGAATACATTATAATATTAGGTCGAGTCATAAGTAATTTCCGTTTTCGGCAATCAGTTGTAATGACGAATTTATCATACTAACTCCAAATTATATGTGGAAGTTAAGAATAAATTTAAAGTATTCTAACATACATTCGTTTTGCACAGCAGTGACAGCGTACACAGTGGATTAATGGTAGAATGTTGTTCTGCGTGACAATTCTAAACCGCATGCAGCAAGAGTGCCAAAGAAAAAAGAAAAAGAACTTTGACCAGTTCCATCCAGCCTGCCTTATTCAGTTTGACTAGCGCCAAACCTTTATCGGCTATTTTCATCGCTGCTATAAGTTTTCTCGGGATATATATATATAAAAAAACGTTCACAAATGAAAACCAGATTTAAGATTCTATCGAAAACGAACGAGGAACTGTAAATAACTAGGCACTGTCTTCTTGGAACCGCGTGAAGTGGCACTTCAGAATCACAAACAAGGAACTATACCAAATAACAGAAACCACATCACTTGTGGTTTTCAACAAAATCAAGAACATAAATGTTTAGATATTGCATGTAACCCCAAGAAGAAATAATCACTCAATCAAGATGTTGATGTTCCACATTATTTAAAATAAAATAAGTTAAGAAAAAGACCGCTTCAAAAGGAAAGTACGATAAAAGTTATTGGATATGAAAAACAAATTTTCATGACAAATTCTTTTAACAGAGAGTCTATTAATTTGAACAGTAGTCCTGGCTACTCGGTTAATAAATAAAGAATGTTTCCTTATAGGGAAACGTCTAGTATTATTATTACCATATAGTGTGATAAAATATTAATGCAATTCATTTTTATAAGAATAAATTGATAACCAATAGCGGAAATTATATATGACTCAACCTAGTAGCGATCGTCATTTAACAGAAAAAAAAAAAGAATGAAAAATAAAAAATAAAATGACATGCACAAAATTTAGGGACAAACAAATAAAAAAATAACTCAAGCTACTCTTCCCTTCGAGGACAGCCTCGATCCGGATTCATAAATCACCAACTTCCCAGATCTGTTGGTTCAATTTTATGTTGGCGACCACGTCCAAGATGGCCATCTTACCGTGTCCTTCACATTATCTTGGCGCTTGTTGACACCCCTCTCACGGCAATGCCTCAGACACAATCATTCGTCCAGGGAATTGGAATCAGGAGAACTAGAAGACAATATTCTGGTTGGGAGTGGTGACATTATCGCAAAAATTCTCGCCAACTGTCGTTCTTTCTGTATACCTGACCACATTCAAGAAACTTGTTAGGACCGTGTCGCTGGGCTTAGCGGCTAAAGCCACAAGCAGGGTGTAACTTGTTTTTATTATTTATCTTTTATCTATTTCAATGGACGCTTTCATGAGAAGGTTAAAATTTGGCATATGTCGTGTAAGTTAGATTGACTTTCATTGATTACCCACTAATGGTGTGTTCACAATTATCGGGCATGCAATTTATATATAAATTTTCAAGAGAAAAATATGGAAATTGCTCTTTCTTGACGGTTAAATAATTACTTTCCTTTCGCAAAATTTTATTCTTTTTTCTTTTTTTTTTTCTCTTCTTGTTTTTTTTTTTTTACAGCTTCAGATTTAATAGTCATTCTGTCTTTACTTTTAATTTTTTGTTCATTTGTTTATTTCTAATTACGCTTTCTTTTTTTCCTCATGTATTTCCGGTTTTGGATTTTTTTTTTCTGGTTTAACAGTTTATAATCTTTATTTCTTTCTTTTAACTTCCAACATAACTTCATTCATTTCTAATTGAACAATATATTATTATCTTCATTTCTTTTTGTTTATATTTCTTTTATTCTTTTCTCCTTTGTTTCTCTCTTTTTATTCTTATTTTAACTTTACACTTTCAACTTTTTTTTTTATTTCTAATTTAACCAATTATTGTTGTTTTCA